CTCACAACGGAGGTTCGTTCGGAAATAAATGAGCACGCCACCGCCCTTGCCCGTTCTGTCGTTCCGGAGAAGTGACATACCCGGTATGGCAATCTCAGCGTCTGTGATTTCGCCGCTCAGCCAGGTTTCGGCGATCATTATGATGTCTCGAGGCTCCGAAGCCAAACGGTGACGGAGTTCTACCAACTTACTTATGAGGCCTTGTGCATTAGTATACATGCAGGATAGTGCTTTTGTAACCAAGAGTGAGCTAGCACAGGTTGTGGTAGGAATGGAGTTTGTGCCGACCGTTAACGGGTCGGCCGTTAACCGTTTTTTGTGGTGACGTTTGCCTTTGAGTTTGCTTTCGGTTAGACGACTGATCGCGGCCTTCCGGGCCCTGCTGGTCCCCCGTGTTCAGCCGTGTTTCGTGGGATATTGCGGTTGTCGATAAATCCATGCCTTCACAAAGTTGCATGAGTGGATGGTTCAACAATTTGATCGCTCCCCGTGAGTCGTTGGTAATCCGTGGCAGCGTACCTGATGCCTTTAATCTAATTTCCGCTGGCAGCTTCATGCGGAATTTGGACCAGTTTTCCAAGGCGAGCGGTAACATAAACTCAGATTGAAGCACCACCTTCATAAGTCTGGGACCGTTCCCTTTGTAGTTGGGTGAAAATGGAATCCTGGTCAACCGCTTAGCGATGATATTATTGAGGGAGATTTCGTGGCGGATGTAACTCCATTGCTCCCGGTCATGTGCATCCGCTGCATCAGAGGTTTAATTTTGGAGCTCAGGAACCCCGTACACAATTATCGTCCGTTTCGCCTCGGCTTTACGAACTTCTTCACGGTTGCTCATCTTTTTCGGACGTTCGTTCCAGGGGATATCAGGAAGTATGCGCGCCTCGAGTGATGAATGACGAAGCCTGTTGGACGATAGTAGAACTGCCTCTGTGTCCTTGGTGGAGTTTAGTGTCACCCGGAGAAGTCGGGGTTCACCGTATTGCGCTGAATTTGGATGACGTGTGACTCGTCTCAGCATTGCAGCTTCAACCGAAATGCCAATCGCAGTACATATAGACTTCCACTGATTACGATCATCCAACAGCTTCCTCTTTATTGTACTCGCCTGTGATTCAGGAACATTTGTACACACAACGGTTAACGCACCTTGGCTTCTTGAGTTGGATGCAGATTTGCCATGACTTACAGACACGGTGTTAAACGGATTGTTTGGTTGTTGGAGTCTGGTCAACTTACTGTTGCTTGGTGTGGTCACCGGAGTCGGAGGTAATTTAGCCGGTGTATGCATGGAGGCGACTGAGGCGTACGACGCCCGACTTTTCTCTTAGGCGGAAGAGGTTTGCCCCGGAACTTCCGCGGTTGCTGTTGAATGGAGGTGGGGTGTGTGACTCAAAGGTGTGGACATCAGTACTCTGGATGTTCGTCCGCTTTTGGGAGTTGAGTGAGGCAGGGGATTTAGAGAAACTGAGGCTGCAGCGCGGCTTGAGCGCCTAGCCCTTTTTTTCGGCCTCGAGGTGGAGCTTTCTTTGACCGACTGTGGTACAATCATGGCCATATTCGCGGCCGGCGGTGAAAGCCTGGCGTTCAACAGATAAGCGATAAGAGGAGGAATTCCCTGTTTCACTTTACGTAGACTGTTAACGTGTTGATACAAAAGCTTGTGGTTTGAGGCCATACGCACTGCCAACTTCTGCTGGTGCGCCATTCTGTCCTCGCGAACAAGCTGAGTACAGTGGTTACTTCGGGTCAAATAGGCCATGCAGTTCTCGGTACTTGGGGAGCGTTTGTAGATATGCCAGGTTGACTTTCGCAACACTATACACTTGCGTGTCCTGCTTGGCAGAAACTAGACGATCTTTCTCGGGCTGAAGTCTTTGGGCGTTGATGCTTCGGCAACCAGAGAGCTAAACTGGCTGACGAAATGTTCCCATATATTATCTGGTGCCTCGTCTGCCAGAAATGTAAAGTTGGCTGTCTCACCTAGTCGAGCTAATATGTCGTAGGGTACATACATTTTCCTTGAGTCGGTAATTTCCACGGGATATTCTGCATAGCAAATATATTCGAAGAGTAGTACTGCATGATAGCTGCGGCCCAATGGGACGTCGACGATCACTCCCTCGACCATTAATTCTTCGTTGGTGAACGTCTGATCCTGTATCGAAGGCTTATCATTTTCTCGGAATAGGGTGGGAGTGTTGATGTAACCATACAGCGGGTAACTGGAGACGAACTCTTATAGATCGGCCTTGAGCAGTTCTTCCGGAGCTGTTTGGGCTTCCAGAGCCTGGGTGTTGAAATCGCCAGCACTGAGAATGTGACTGTAAGTTGTGTTTATCAGCCACTTAATAGCGGATGCCAGATGGGAGTCCATCTCAGGCGTGGAGGAACGCAGACGGTAAATGACTGCCAATAAGCAGTTGTCGTCGCCTTTTAAACGTAGACAGCACCAAACGGAACATTGCACTTTGCTGACTGGATCTTCTTTGAACTCACATAGGAGGTCATTGCAGAAATACTGAGCCACCACTCCACCTATGCTGGGTAGGTCATACCGAACAATGGATATGCCTGACAGTGCCATCTCCAAAGCAGTTATGTCAGGGTGTAACCATGTCTCCGTCATAGTGATGAGGTCGCAGGCTTTGGATCCTTGACACAGCTGCACTTCGAAAAGTTTACTCAGTAACCCTTGAGCGTTGGTGTACATACAGGAAAGCTTCTTGAATGTCAAAAGCTATTGACTAGGAGCACATACATGATGTGGATTTGTGCCGACCGATGAGAGGCCGGCACCTGATAGGAATTTAATCTGCTTTTGATTTCACTTGCACCTGTGGTATGTAGTCCATCGGCAGCCTTCTCGATATCTACGGGTCTTAGCGCACAGGTTTCCGAATCGCTGTTGTGGTTATATTGAGTCGCGCGTGGTGTTGTTTTCGCGAGAACAGCGATTGGCTGCGGCTCTCTAACTGCTGTCTTCAGTCGTAGTTCCGAGGGAAGTGTGTTGCCTAGTAACTGCCAGCTACGGATTAAATTTATGGCCATCTGTTGTGATTACACCATTAGATTCAGTATCCTCGGGTCACTGCCTCTGTAGTTTGGCGACGGGGTTAACCGTGTAATCGACTGAAGTATGACATCGCCCGCACAGAGAGCTTCTTCCAGTTCATGAACATGGGCTTCCTCGTTGCTGGGTGTCGGTAGCTCACGCACCCCATGAACAAAAATAATTCTTTTGCTACTCTCCATGTGGTGGTTGTTTGCATCATTTTGTCCAGCTGGTGTTCGCTCAATGGAACATCCGGAAATATGCGTATTCCACTGTTTTCAGTTCACAGGCGGTATGCCGACAAAAGCACCGTCTCGACATCATCTATTTATCCCAATTTTACTCGCATTAGCCGGGACTCCCCATAATGATTCGAAGTTTGATATCTAGTGATACACAGTATATTAGTTGGACTGGCTTAAAGTACGATGTAATCGCAAAGGAAATTCGATTGCTTTAAATCATCTAACTGTTTACTCTTTTAGAAGTTTGCCTTGGACTCAGGGACGTTGGTGTATATAAGCGTCAAAGCGCCGTAGTTCAGCCTAGTCTTCGGTAATGTGGGAAGCACGGTTATCGATGGATTTAGTGATGTCTGTGCAGGTTTCACCTGATCCTTGACTCGTTTTGCGGTTGTACTGAGTGAGGTCGCACTTCGATTATACCGAGCAGCAACGGTTGCATAGGTGGATCTTACCTTACATCGCTTCGGGTTTCGTTGGTCAATCGGAAGATCGGGGGTTACCGAGGTTGTATCAATCGAGACATTGGATAAGAGGATTTGGGCGACGGGGCTAAGCATGCTAATATCGGTCGCGATGACGACTTGGTACGTGGTTTCCAAGGTACTGCGTGGCCATTTAAACGCCTGGCCCTTTTCCTTGGTTTCGAGGCAGCGATAGAGGGTGACAAACGTACAAGATACGTTATTGTCACTTAGAGCGAAGCAACTTTTACATTCAAACGTTGTTCAGTTTCCGCGACTAGGCTGTCGTACTTATGTGTTAATGCTAGTACGCATTTTACTAGTGGAACCGTTGTGTACTTCGGACAGAACCCAAGTGAACGTGGCGTTTCATTTTTTAAAATGTCAGTTCTACAGACGTTGACGCATTTCGAATAGCACCTGTCTTGGCAATTTGTACAAGTCAACTCTACTTTTACTACTTTGGCACGAGTTTGATTAGCACAAAATGCTTCGTTTCGGGTTACCTGTGTGGTGGTCATGATGGTCGAGTACCGTAGGGCAAATGAAAAATGGCGGACACAGACCGTAGTTGGGCTAATCAATGAGATTTGCGAAATTAGCCAGAGAACATCAACCAAGTACTCTTACCAACGGTTCATTCAAACCGCTTACAGCACCGATCACGAAACCGTAACAAGTAGGCAACGTCATCCGAACTGAACTTCGTTTGACTACGTTCTTTTGTCTACGACTGTTGCAAACCGTATGTGCATCATAAACACGTGTAAGTAAGTGCATAAACTAGTTAAACGAAACCGTAACGTTAAGTGTCATCCGTTCAGTTACATAGCAAGCAGATAAGCTGTGGTTAACTCGGAAATGAACTGAGTAGAGGCGCAGAAAATATGATAGTCTCGCTGAATTTGAGCTATCTGGCGGTTGCAATATTTATACCAGAGGTCAGCTTACAGACAAAATAAGGCAGGCAAAGCAATTGAGTAGACCTAAGTAATGGTGAGAAACTATGTGCAAAACATTCACAACTATATTAGCTTCTAGGACGCACTTCAGCTGGAATGTGCATATATCCGTTAAGATTTTGCGCAGCCTAATAAAATGATACCGATAGCCTAAGTGAATGCAGTCGATTGTTTCAGCTACCTCGGATACATAAACTGCGCTTGCATTCCCTGCCACAAACATATCAGCTAGGTAAGGGAATGACGGTTTAATGACAACGGAAGATTGGCATACCGATTGTTGGATCGTAACGGCAATAATTTGGAGATTCCTCCAAATAAATTAATTTCCCTTTTGATACACTCTCCGTGTCAGTCACTGCGCGTGGCCGTCGCTGCCTTCTCCATCTATCCATATCGTCTCCATCCTCTGGGTAGCCAGTTGTTGAAATACGCTGCCCCATGGGAGTGTGCCAGCCTGGCTGTTTCAGCTCACTCTTGCCACTTGAGTCCAAACGATGCGTCACCATATGGTCGACAGCTCTTCGATCGCTGCTGCTAACAAACCCGTTGTTCAGATGAATCCTGCGTCTCTGCGAAGCTGCGGGCTTTAACACATCTCTACTAGGGTCATAAGAAACGCGAACGGCATCCCCATAAGCAGCTTTCAAAATGCTTCCAATGTGGCGAAATTCGTTTACTCGCTGCCAACATGTGCGCATTGAGCAAGCTCCGCTGACACCATGGCACTTGCATTTTCGTATCCGGGTCTTCCAAATGAGCTTTCATAAATGGATCAAGCGCGATTAAGTAAGATGGATGCGATAGGTTAAGGGATAAAAATGCACAGAGTTATAAGCAAATCAAAATCAAATAAGAACATGCAGACACAAATAAGCCGTAGTCCAGAATCTAACTACATATGGGACCGCACATGTTAATTCCTATTTGGTAAACTAGTACAAACTGAGGCAAACTGAGACTGTATTTAAGAGCAAGTAGAAAGGTTTCTGTACAACTATCGAATTACGAAAAATCAAAAACATTTAGTTGTGAATCGTCAGCAATTGTGTTTGGTCCGTTAATCGTCTAATAACAGGTTAATAACAGGTTAAAATGAACTAACGAGCAATGTTTATTTGTAAATCAACATGATTTACCATTGAATGCTCTAAATAAATGAAGCTGAATACTTCTTGGGCCGGATGATTGACGGGGTTGCTTGGTTGTACGGGAACCACGAAGCTTCAGGACTCTATCGCTACGGAAGCATGCCCGTACAGTTTAGTCGTATATATTCTCACCTAATTCTAATTATATAGCAAGCATTGCCTACTTTAAAAACCCGTACGAACTTTTGACTGCTGCGGTGGCAACTTTCAATAGCCTAGACTGGTTAGTTATAAAGGCGTTCTCTGACAATCTGAAATTCGGAAGTATGATACCGGAAATTGGCCGGCAGTATGCATTTATAGTCAAGCATGGCAGATAGGAAATCTAGATCATGCAGAGTCCATCTAAGAGTTCTTGTAACACGAAGTATTTCACTAATAAGGTTCCAATTGCAAAGCACAGATGTCTATGCAATTTTGGAACTAAAGCGATTGACAATGTAAATTTCATCTGGAGTCTGCCAATTCCAAACTTTCGTATAGATCATTTCTTCTTTAATGCCGGGACTCAATTTACCTATACTCGTTTAGGTCATTGAGAAAAGTGAAAAATATAAAGTACTATCCAACCTCTTGTTTATGCAGCACCGTTGTGACACACAAAACGAATACGGAAGATATCTCTATTAGAATATACTCCTGTCGAGCCCGATTTGTCAGATGCAGGAGGAACGTGTGAATCTAACAGTAAGACCCACTTTTGAGTGTCAGAAACTAGTTACTAGGTAATACCGGCCACTAGAAAAGTGTTTATAACGACAGCGGAATCTCATACGAGATGCAAACCTGTACCCATAAATGAAGTAGTACGCCTGTGCTACAAACATCATTCTTAGAACACCGTTTGTCTTACATGGCCTTCACCTACTATCACTTTCTCTAGGTATCGGAATGCGGTTATTAGAGTGACGATTGGATCCTTGGCCGTCAATATACATAGTAGAGTCAATCGACGTGTGCGGCGGGTAACACAAAACTGTCACAAACACAGTTTAAGTAGGGAAATACAATGCAGCGCGTGCAATTCGCCGCCAGTTATAAATCCTAGTACCTGGAAATTCGCATTTTAAACTACTAAATTACGATGAATAAAATGTTGAAGTTACAAAAGTATGACTGACAGAATACGACGTGGTAACAGTTAGTCCCGAGTTATACGCCATATCTGGAACTATGCGAACATCGGTCCACACTTATACTCGTGCTTCCTTCTGATCAACCGGAAAGCGGAAATGGACTGCAAGGATTTACCGATTGCCTTCTGAAACAACAACCTGCTTTCGAATGCAACGAGATAGTATTGATTTTCTTCACTTTCTCGTATGTGCCAACGACTATTCACTTGTAACACGTCTCTTCCTACTTCGTAATCACATTGCGTGAGGGACCGGCGAGACCGGGCCTGTTTAACCTACCAAGCTTCACATCACTGAAGCAATTTCATGAGTAGTACTGAGGTACGAATGTGCCAATTTGTTCCAACTGCTGCATCGGAGGTTACATGGTGCAGTCGCTAATTTAAATTCTAACGATAAAAATTAAATGAACACGTGTCACTGTAAGAAATTCAAAAATTACAGAATAGTAGTAGGTAGGTAGACATATTTCTGCCTATTACAAAGACCATTTTTCAGAAATATGCTCCTGTGCAATCACGCTGGGAAACGGAACAAATTTTACGAAACTTATATGGATATGCGGTGAATACCTAACGTTCGCTTCAAGTCCTAATATGGCAAAGCGCCTTTACTTATTTAAGCAGCACCCAAGGTTGTTACATCTTAGCGTCGGTCACAACGAGATTACAGCGCACTGCGCGCCTGTCTTGCCTTCTTTAGGTCACCTTTTCAAATCCGCGTAGGGGCGGGAGTTCACACGGTATACTCAGCCCACGGGTGACCGGTGGTGCTAGCGTGGAAGCGGAGCGTCTGTACAGTGTGCCGGCACACTGCTGATGATATTTTTGAATTTTGTTGAGGTTTTCATCCCAGCAGTTCACAAGCTACATGGCACAGCCTAGTCCGGAAAAGCACCAGATGCGTTTCGCCCTATTGGGGCTCGTCAGTGGTGCACATTCCCTCGGTCCCCTACTGGGGATCGAACCTATGATCGCCAGAAGCGGATGCCAGCTAGCCATCAGCTTAAGTCACTGGGAATATCAAAGGTGGCAGAGGACCTTGGAAGCCGACGACGGCATGAAATGTAGAAGGCCCAAACCAGTGGAAACCCTAATAGCGCCTGCTTTAACACATTCAACAAGCGGATCGAAGAAAGCTTTATCTAGGTGAAACGAAACTGATAAGAAGATTGCTTCATAAAACGTAATGCTAGGTGGCACTGAGTTAACAAAAGCAGTTGTCTCAGCCTGGTGCGTCATAACTGTTAAATAAATGACAAATCTATTTCTAAAAGTTCGAGTCAAGCATCTATAGGCATAATCGTAACTTTACCCATTAGGTAATCCAGACCCACTGGGAAGGTGGACGTTCCAGCTCTCATTATCTACATGAGCTGACAAAAGATGGTGAATTTGGAGAACAAAGCGTTTGGCCTAGACAACTTTCTTCCTTCACTGATTACCTAAGCTATCCACGCTGTAGTTGGATAATTTGTTGGGCATCACTTGGCGCAAGCAGGTAGTGCTCCAAATCCTGCGGTTGGCAAACTGTCTTTGTCATCTTCAGCATGGATTAAATGACTTCCTGATAACACTTTCCCTAAAGTAGTCTTGTTTCAACTACTTTAAAACGATGGACCAACGATGCTATTGTGAGACGAATCTTTGAAAAACAAGTTGACTTTCGTTACATCATGGATGTACTGACTATAATGAGTATATGGGCGAAGTTGTTCCATTTATGTTAGGACCAGATGGCGTGCAACCCCTGCTGAATAGAGTAATGTGTCCTGATGAACGCCCCGTTTTTTAACATTCCACACAATGTATAAGAATGTCATAGGACTAAGCTGAAACCACAAGTGAGAAAACCATCTGATATGCACTGGAAATGTTTAGCCAGATTGGACTATTATGTAACTGTGTAAAAGTGACTATCTGTCTGCCTCACTGGTGTTCACTGCAAATGCTGGGTGTCATATGTTACTTGAAGTACCTGACTGGTCCTTTTATTCCATTAAGGATAAACTACTCAATAATTATCGGTATTGTGTCATGTCAATGGCGTAGCGTTTTTCTTTTGGAATTCTAAGAGACATGACTTATGAGCACACATTCGATGACTGGCCTTCAATAATATACCACTTGGTAAAATTGTAGCTATTTGTAAATGACATAGGTCACGACCATCGATTGAAGCCCACTTGAAGCAATGCATTGGAGGGTGGTACTAAGGTAGCAGACAGGGTTTGTTTGAGTTATAATGATTACAACGAGCAATGTTACATTTCTTAGTTGAGGTAGTAAGGGGTAGTGTTTGACTGGCCTACAAGAAGGAAAGCTGGCTCGACTTAGCTGCTTAACTCTATGCGTAGTAATCTGTCTCTTAAATCAGTAATATTGTCACAATAAATCCGGGATAGAATGTAACCTACAGTTAACTCTTATAACACCCTGTTTACAAACGACTTGAGGTGCATCGATTTGGCAACCAAACATTTTCTGAAAACCATTTGACAGCTACACCAAACTCATCACCAAAGAGACGTGCATATAATTTATGTTATTAAAATTCAATTTATGGTAGTTCGAGCAGGTGAACTCGCGTAGTTTTTACATCGTGCAGTGTCTAACCCTATAGGCTGTAAATATCCATCTCGGCCAGCCATCTGCCCCTATATTGCCGTCTGCCTCGTTTTTTTTGCGCGCACGCGATTGATGCCGCCACAGTGACTCACGTACAAGACCCCGAGAACAGAGCATCACGAAAGTACCACATTCCGCCAACCCCCGTTGATGCTAGCGCTCCGATAGCCCTAGTCGATTATTCACGGTTACTTGAACAGAGCCAAAAGGGAGTTAGTTGGGAATGAGGATACAGGGTGGGTAGCCGTCGCATACGAGGGGTCATGAAAAGTTTGGTAAGGGGTCTCCAGTATGCAGACAAAGCCACATGATGCCCACATGGGACGTCTGGTGGCCTTAGTCACACCTTTCCAATATTCACTCCCCATACAATAACGCTCCAGCTCTGGTACCGTGATAAATGACAGACAGCTCCTGCTCAGCCCATTAGGGTTAGCATTAGCTGGGGTGAGAAGTAAAATATAACCAGTACTTTGTTGACAAAACCGGTAACAACCGATACTAATACATAAATTATCAGTCTTGACAAGTATGAGCTTTGTTTGTCGTATTCATCTCACCGGTCATTATTAACTCGGCCATTTTCCAGAACAGAGCAAATCTACTGTTCCAATTGCGCTAATTCCCAAATGATTTTGAGCAAGTTGAGAAATCTAAATACCACCAAGAAATTTCTCGCTTTAGGTACACGACGCTCAGGTACAAATGCGCCTCAATGGCCTCCTCGCGTGGAATATGCAGCGTACGTGCAAAGCTTACCTGCTTGCTAGTCATAAGTAATAAAATGTTATATCGTGCTCATACGATGCACCAAATGATAGTAGCTCTAACGGTATGCCCCAAGCAATCAAACAGGAAAGTGAAGCCATAACAAAGAATAGTGCACACATATCTGAAACTGTCCAGTTGATGAACAAGATATTTGTGACGATTTTCAGCGTAGCGACCAAATCATGTTGGCTTAATGACAAAGGGTTGGTGCGTCCATCATTTCGCCTGCGGTTCACCTGTGACTTAGACACTGAGTACGTTCGTGTCAATCCATAGCGGAAGCTGTTATTATTTTCGGTACTAATGGCTTGTACCATAATATACCGCGCAAAATATCTGCCTAGTGCAACGGATTCTTGCATATTTGGTATATGACAACGTCGGTAACACACTTTCACGCGGATTCACTATCTGGCCCCTGAAATTGTTTCGCGGACAGCACCAATAATGAGCAACACGGCGGGCAATCAGTTGGTAAACCATTTTCTTCAAACCAGCGCATTACCCCTCCTGTAACCCAAATTAATTTGCCGGTTAGTAGCTGCCAACAACTACAAAAACTGCAGTTACCAGTCCCGTCTTTTGAGAGGGTTACTGTGTAACTTAACAAACTCGAGTAGTTCAACTTTCAGGTGAGTAATTCCAAAAATTACGAGCTAAATGTTTCACCAACAGCTAGCACCGAATAAACCTCCTAAGCAGGATAGGAGGGATGTCAAACAATAATCATTCAGTTGTTGCTGATGCCAACAACCTTGTTTGGTACGAAATGTCAAAACGTTTGTTCAACTATGCGCCAGCAAGAAGCACAAGAAATGATTTGATTAATAACAACTTACTCTACGTCCAGCTCTTCTGTTGTGCAGGTTCATCAATGCCCTTGCCTTGGTCTGTATGATACGTAGCGTCTCTGATTGTAGTTCCTGTGGAGATAAACGTTTGGATGAAGCACGGGAAACTGTCGTTTTGTTTTTTGCAAAGCCTCCATTTGATGGACTTATGATTCCCGGTAGCGATGCATTGATAAACAATGTTTTTCTACTGATAGAACGGGCAAATCTTTGATATATGTGTAAAGCCTCTGGTTCACCCTCATGAAACATGTACCCACGTACAGATGTACCGGATGCAGAACTGGCGCCATGGAGCTGCCGTTCTCTCCGGATGGATGCCTGACGGTGTGCACGATCGTTGGCATCCAGAAACAGGCGTGTGAGACGCATGCCGAATTTGATTGGATCGCTGCAGCCACCCCAGGTAAATACTCCTTCGGCGTCCTGATCTTGACCCTCTCGACGCTGTGGATCGCAGTCACAAGTAGCCATCTGTCCACGACTGCATGCTCTCGTGATTGCTTGTACCACCCCTGCCGACCACGTAGATGAGAGAAATGCCGCTTCCCTCGATCCTACAACAAATTGATCAAGTTACCTTAGCCTGCGTTCATAATATGCTGTACAATAAATTAATACCAAAGAATGAACACAACCTGCATTAAGATTTCAAACTGGTCTATCTGACTCGTAAGCTGCTGGGAAGATTCACCGAAAATCCTCCTGCTCATTAGTAAATTGTTGCTTTTCCAAGCTACTTGCAAGTAGTTGGAGATAACCAATAGTTAAAGAAACTGTTTTGCTTGCGGTAAGTCAGGAACTGAGTCAGCCAAATGGGAAATGCAAAGGTGAAGCTTAATTCGGTGGACGGGCATAAATAAAACCGGATTGAGAACAAAACGCAGATGACACTATTATGCACAACCAGTACGCGAATCATTAGGCGACTTGTTTCGTCAATACTGCCCAGTGGACCGGCTCCAGAACGAACTGCCTCGTTGTGATACATCAGCTAAATTTACAGCCACCTAAGTGTGCTGAAAATTCCCCATTTAAAAAAAGGATCGGAGTATTTAGATTCAGACAGATAGAAGTCACACCGCCATTGCATGTTGGCGGGATACATTAATGATGTTCAGTTCCATCGATTCCCAAGGGAATATTCATGATGTCTGGATTCACTCCAGTGAGCGCACCGGCATGAATACCATGGAAATATTCATTAAGGTTAGAAAAGCAAATACCTTCTTATTGTTAGCTTAAGTACAATCAAAGTGTAGTAGTAGGATGGCGAATAACGATAAAAAATATGATCTTTATTGCTGAATTGACACTGCTGCGAATAGTTCTGCCTAGTTTACTACGTGGAGAATAAAATAACTGATGGTGCATCTAGATCTGTTCCAACAGCGTTTTCTCTTTCGCGACCGCATTAGCATGAAAAGCAGTAGGGCGAGAAAAGAACGGAGAGGTGAGTTAAGATGTCTGTTGCAAACTCTGTGGGTTTCATTCACGAAAGCGACAATACGTTTCGTAGGACAAAAAGTAGAGTCGGAGAAATTAATCCGCCTTGTTTGCACTTGTCGAAAATCAAATAAGTGTAGAAAAATCACCTAATGTACTGCAATATGTAGTAAATTTAGGGGCCTAGTGGACATCTTATTGTTCCTTATGCGATTAGTCATTGTTCATCATTTGTAGCAGTGGTATGAGTAACACAGCTGCGCATCCTACCAGGGTCATAATGCCACAATTTTTACACATATGAACTAAATCAAACCAATGATTTATTGAAACAGTTAAGGACGGTTGTTATGCCAGTGGTCGAGCATATCTTCCTCTTCATTTAACAATAATATAAACAGAATCAGTGAACTAAAAAGACCGAAATTAAAAAGGTTTATGTCAGTTTGTCGTCAAATACAGATATTCGATTTATATGATATCCAGATGACTCAAGATGGGTTCGTCCCTCTGTTCACATACTGAGTGAATAACACATGGAAAATAACATTCGCCGAATTCTTGGGTTCTTTCTCCCCAATGCTCCTCTCCACATGTTCCGAAAGCTTGGTTCGTGTGCCAGTTCCGTTACCATAAATGCAGTTACCAGTTTTCTGTGTGACTACGCTAAGTAACAAAAGTGCTCTCTTGGTCTCTCTTACTGATGGCGTAAAAGGACAATGGCTATGATTCGTTTGGAAGCCCAGTATGGTAATTTTAATGACCCAGATGAAAACTGCGTGTAAATAATGAACTAAACAGCTAGACAGTGGCAGGGCAATGGGGGCCATGGAAGTGTTTCGGTGTTGCTCTTCTCAACGCTGACACATCGTAACCGGTTTCCTCCTTCTTTGGACTCATCAGGTTGAGATAGCTTGAGATGGGGTGCAACACGGTGCCTAGCTGTTGATAGTTGACGCTTTGAGCACTATGCTACTAAGTCGCCTGTCGGTAACCACTAGGCCCCAACTTCCACCACAACTCAGGCTATCTCCATCTGATGAGTGCAAACGAGGAAGAAACCTGTTATAATCTATCAGCGTTGAGAGAATCAACACTGAAACACCTCCATTTCAGACACTTTTCTGATGAGCTGAATGACCGAGTTCTCAATAGAGATTGCTTAACGCAATCCAACCACACGATGGGAACTACAAATCCAACTAGAAAATACTGACCATTTTGTATACCAGAGCAGCGGAAGTAATTATGCTAGGTTTTAATAAGGAACCATTCCTTGTGGTCTGCTCAAGGAAGCTTCGGCATATGGTATAGTGGACCCAACAAGAACATTACAGAATTACTTACATTTGATGTTCTTTTCGGTAAGATGTAGGGGTAAATAGCAGTCAACTCCTTCCGTCTAATTGCTAATTGGTCATTTTATGTCTCCAGTTTCTCAAACTCTTTTCTTATTGCCTAACCACACTTCGCCAATACTTGAATTAATTAATCTGACGTCCCTTCATAAATATCTAACCTGAGCTGATCGAATCGACACCTAGTGAGTAGTACTATACGTCTAAACACATCTTAATGATTCTCTATCTTAATTGAGGTTTCATTATTGAGTTAATGTTAATGCTACGATAAATAAAAGTGCATGATTTTAAGAAAAGTACCAAATTTAATGAAACACTGAAGGATAGATGTTGAGTTATCTTGTGATGATAGCCATGAGATGTTTCGAGACTACTCAGGATGAAGTATTTCCTTATTTAAATAAAAACTGCTTTCCGACCAAAGAGAAGTTTAGCAGTTCCGCGAATCCTTAGTTAGCAAACCGATTAGGTATTAGTAACGTTACTTCACGAAGCTGCAGTATACTTCGCTGTACAATAGCAATTCTCACTTGGTATCTGGATTCAAACCGGTTCAACATGTCTGCAGATAACGAGTTAAACTATCACTCAACACATCTGAGATAAATTTCTGGCTTTTATCTTCCGGTGGACAGAGGCTTGAATGGGCAATAACCGCTTTGAAAATGGAGTGTCCCAATGTCGTTCTCCTCCATAACTGTGACTCCGAACCCCTTCACTTTGCATGTGGTCCAACCGATGTCCGGGGTTGCCTTCAGAACCTACCTTGGCTCCAAATGAAGCTTCATGTCTCAATCCAGTCACAAATGGGGAAAACCAAAACGCACCAGTGTGTTAAGAAAATTCTTCCTTGGGCACATCTAGGTTACATTCTACTATCAGGCCAACAGAAGCTTTGGTGAATAGCCTATTGCATACTGCACCCGAGCATAATACACCAGCGCGTAATTTCGCGCCTCACTTTCGGAAGGCACGACAGTGAACTCTCGGCCGATACAATAAAGTACGGATCGAGAGCTGTGGAGAGAAACTCGAATGTGCAAGTAGAACCCAATTAAAGGCCTACGAAAGATGCATTGTGCTAACTGGCTTGTTTGGTTTACAAGTTTCACTTGTTGTGAGTTGTGGATAGAGTGGTCTTATTTGGACCACTCGACTTCCTACGTTCAGTACCATCGGTTTAGTTAAGGAAGTTGGATTTGTAGATTACTCATAAGTAGGCAAAGTATATTGGAACATGTGCTAGCGTTAAATGGCTCAAATTTTTGACTATCAACAGAACATTACACACAACAACAGCAGTACATCAGCCAGTTGAACTGATGTTTCGCTGCCATTCAACCATGATGACCTATGAAATAAAGAATAATAAGAAGGAGAGAAGGGGGACTTACCTAAAAACATTAAAGCCCTAAGCAAACATTCGGGGTCAAGGCGCCTAAACCTTGTGTAGACAACACACCGTCACAAACAGCTGGCTATCGTGCAAACATAAGGCAGCATCGGCGAGACAGCTTCCTTGCGGTTTTCACTGCCACGCGTCATACTCAGCCATTAGCTCGCAGATAACTCAGCACAAAGACACTTCAAACAGGTAATCCGAATAGGAGACGGCAGCAGACGCGTCACCGGTGTCGACTGCGAGCCATGTCCTGTAAAGTCTCGAGCCAAGCACAAGGGGGGTCATGTGAACTCCAGCCCGGAAGACGAGACGCACCAACGACAACCAGTTTGGTCGTCAATAACTTCATTTCCCGCTGCTAAGTCACTTCTGTCCGCCTCTAGCTTTGCGCCACCCTACACCTGGTTGACTGAACAAGGCCCTCCTAGGTAAGCGGTGACCAGGCATAATTAGCACGTGCCCCAGCCAACACAACTTATTCAGTGCTATCTGTTGTTCTAGGGAGCTAGCATGATTATCACCACCTGGTACTCGCCCACGCACATCATCGTTGCGAACACGCTGGTGCCATCCGACAACAGCAATGCTTCGCAGACAACGGAGAGTAAAGACCTGAAGGCGCCTCAGATCTTCAAAACGAAGGGAAAAGTCTCAATACCATAGAGCAGAACGTCCCTCACTGTGACCTTGTATACACAGCCTTTCAGACTAAGGGAAACTCCCTTCTGTTGCCAAAGATTCCGCAGGTTCAAGAAGGCAGCTCTGACCTTTGCAATGCGTGAGCTCACATCAGTTTCTATTCGCCCATTGTTACTGATGCAGCTGTCACGGTAAGTGAATTGATCGACCATCTTGAGTTCCTCGTTAGCAAGGGTCAAGGGGTCATAAAGTTGCTGGTGGTCCTGCAACAACACTTTGCACTTTGAAGGTGCGAAGTGCGTACCAAATAATGGGACCACACTAGACAGGTTATACAGAGTTGAATGTGACACGGAAACATCGACGAAAAGCAAGACGATATCGTCCGCATAATCAAGATCAACTAACCATTCACCAGACAGTACTTTAACGCCTACATCTTGAGATGCCGCAAGGGGACACTCCATAGAGTCTACGACGAAATTGACTCAAAATGGGGCGATCAAACAACGTTGACGAACGCTACGTATAGTCGGAAAGCTATCCGATAGGCCACCGTAGACCCTAACGCGACCTGTATTGTTCGAGTATAGAGCACGTAGGATGTTCACATATTTCGTGGAAGCACCTTTCCGCGCAAGTATTTCGAACAAAATGCATCGATCGAATAAGTCCAAACCATACTTGAAATAAAGGAACACAGCTATTG